ACATTTGTGAAAATAATAATACAATGTTTGTTTAAAATAGTATCATATATAATTATAAATAACATAAAATATATTTTTCACGATTGTCATACCTAACACTAATTTTTATTTGAACCAACCGATATATATAGTTAGGCGTCTTTGAAGTCTGCCGTCAACTTTTGGTTGCCTTTTCCAGGAACTCTGTCTTCTATTGTTTAATGTAAATATAATTTAAGTCTTAAAAATTAATTTTGACTCTTAAAACAAAAACTTTTTTATTTTTCAAACAAAAACTTTTTTATTTTTCAAAATTGTTTACGTATATATATATATAACAATAACAATTTCTTTTTTTTTTTGTTGAAAAATTGGGTGAAAGTTGCGCCGTGTATATGTTTGTACAGTTGGTGCAAACAATTGGATAATTCGAAGGAAAAGGGAGGGGTGAATGGAGATAATCCAAGCAAGCTGCACCTCCAACTTCCGACCATATATTCATCCACCTGCCCGCCGTCAATCATCCCGGTATCACACCGGGATTCACGTTTTATCGTGGCCATCCCCATGCTCAATTTCACCTGTGCAGTCAAAAATCCCAACCTACAGTAAGCCCATTTCTACTACTCGGGCAATCCTCGATAGCAGCACTTCTGGTAACGACCGTCCTTGTAACTTTTCATTTTCCCGTTGTATGTTTGTGATTGCCCGGTCCTTGCATCTTTTCATTTTTTTGGTTGTATGTACATTATTGATTGCCCATGTCTGATAATTTTCGATTTGTTAGTTCATAAATGTCGATTACGGTTCGTCTAGAGTTGAAAGCGCCATCTCCGAGCATGTTTTTGAGTTTCCTTTTGAGTTTGAAGCATGATGTAAGTTAGGGTGAGTAAAGTTTGTTTTGTCTTGCGTCGAGCTAGATAAACTGACTTACAAAATGCTGTTTAACAAGAGATTATATTCTTTTACCTTCAAAATTTTTAGGTCATTTTTGTGGAATTGTTTCGTTTTCATACTGTTTTTTGGGAGTTCTGTTTTTATTGTTCACTGCTGTCATCCTACTATGGAGGAGATTCATAATGCACTCAAATTATCCTTCTGCCTTTCCTTTTTGTAGACTCTGTGGCCACTAAAACTGTGGAACATAATCCATCTTTAGCAATCAAAGTGAGCTTTACATTTCTTCTGCTCTGGACGTTTGATCCTTCGAGTTTGAATATAATTTCAAGAACTAATTGAACTGTTCAGTTTATTTCAGAAAAAGGCTTTCGAGGTATCCACTGATTTAAAGGGAACTTCAATATTTTTAGTTGGTGAGATTATTCACTCAACTGCTAGGATCCTGCTGCTTTTTAACCCTCTTTTTTTTTACTACATTTCAGTATCCATTTATCTGGCTTAGACCTATAATGTGAATACAGGGATAAACAACTCTTATAAATCGAATTTGGGGAGGATGCTTGCAGACGAATTTCGATACTATTACTTCGACAGGTATAAGTTTATAAAACCATAAAATGACTGCACAGGTCCATGGCGTGTATGAGCCTGGTGAAGCCGAATATGATTTTCCTGAAAAAATAACAAATTAAAACCATAAAACTATTAAATGGCTTCACAAGTCCATGTCGTGTATGAGCCTGACGATGGCGAATATGATTCTCCCGAAGAAATAAAAAAAATAATAGGAGGCCAAATGTGTTTTGCAATATCTCCATGATGAGCCTGACGATGGCGAATATGATTTTCCCGAAAAACTAAAAAATAAAAATAGGAGGCCAAATGTGTTTTGCAATATCCCCATGAATACTATGCGAGCATCCAAGTATGACTGAATACATACATGCCGGTATAGTTGGCTCACATAAACATAAATAAGCTTACATTTTGTTTCAGTGATAGCCTGGTGGAGGAAGCTGCTGGAGGAAAAGAAGCTGCCATATCGCTCTTGGAGGAGGATGAAGAAGGATATCTTGCATCAGAGGTGAATTTCAGTAGTATTCTTCTACTTATAATAGATTATGTTATGCTTATATGAACCTTATATTTATGAGTGATGCAATTACTTCCTCGAATGAAATGTAGACCGAAGTACTAAAGCAGTTGTCATCAATGGGTCGGCTGATTGTTTGCGCTGGAAATGGAGCTGTTAATGATGCTACTAATCTGTAAGTCTAAATTGAGGCCGTCAATGTTTTCTAGTGAAGTTTTTTCATTGCAACTGATGACCAAATTGAGTTTACTTTTTTAGGGCACTTTTAAGACATGGGATTTCAATTTGGATTGATGTGCCATTAGACTTGGTGGCCAGAGATGTATTGGAAGATAGGGTTCAGCTCTCTGCTTATGATATGCACGTGTGCGGATCTTCTTCGGAGGTCCATTATGATCTTGTTATGAGTTGATCTTTGTCTCTTGAGAAGTCTCGATATTATCTTGCACGCACCGTGTTTCTTACTATGAAGCTATTCCTGAAAATTGGTTTCTTGCAGGTACCTGCTCAATTGGCTACACTGTATAGTAGTGCACGAAGTGGATATTCTACAGCTGATGCTACTATTTCCTTTCTGAGTGAGTCAATAAGATGTTCTCTCATTTTACTCCGTTGTATATATGTTCTCTCTTTTATCTGATCTCTCTCTCTCTCTATCTCTCTCTGTCGTTGGAGTAGAGGTCGCTTCCCAACTGGGTTATGATGAGCTGGATGCAGTGACTACAGAGGATTTGTGTATTGAGGTGAATAAATGCTTAAACTCCACAGAAAAATGTTATTCGGAATTCTTTCTACTCACCGTTAATGATTCAAATCCTTTTTGTGTTGAGCAGGTTCTTAAGGAGATAGAAAAGCTGGTAAGAGTGAAGAAGATGATGGAGGACGCAGCCAGACCATTTTAAACCACAGTCTAGTCTTAGTGAACATTATTCCTCTCATAGTCATGCATAAACAAGTTGTGTTTTTACCAAAAAAAAAAAAAGAAAAAAATCTGCAAGAATGTCTATGATGGTATTAGTGATGTGCGACGTCTTCTCTTGCAGCATTGAGTGGTAATCGATAATATGTTGCGTGTGAATTTCAAAAAGGAAAGGTAAAAAATGGTTATTTGTTAGAGCAGATTGCCAAAATTGGCTGGCTCTCTAGGAGGTGGGAAATTGAAGTATTTGCCTGCTTTTGTCAATTTGTGACCATTTTGTTTAAATATCCTAAAGATCAATTTCGATCAGCGCCCAGGTTCAGGTTCTAATATGTTAAAGTTTGCATGATCTACATATGACTTGACTTTAATTTTCGACATGGCTAGTTAGTTGTAAACTTTAATTATGGGAAAGTAGTTGTGGCATATGACGACTTGTGCGTCTTTGTCTGTCTGTTGCCTAGTTAACTGCCTCTTAAATTTTTTTCTTCACGGTCCCCCTGTTTTTTTCTCGACCTGTTATGTGGTTAATTAGAACTTTGTTAGGAATTAGGATATGTTACTTGTTAAACATACAAGGCTAACCTCACCTCTTTTTTTTTTGGGTGGCGATCGATGGCTTAATTAAATTAATTTGTTCAATTCATACCGTTTACTATCTCCTTTTTTCAAATGTCATTTTTTTTTTT